AGCTTGTTCTAAGTAGGTGCTTTAGACCACTGAGCCATCTCACCAGCCCCTCAAGCTTTATTTCTTTACCAAGGTTTTGTATATATATATGTAGGCCTCTCCTGTAACAGTTTTTGTTTGATCAGTTGGTTTTTATTTTGTCTTTTGGAGACAGGGTTTCACTATGCAGTTTTTAATTTAATTTTTTAAAAAATGTTTATTTGGTACAGGGTCTCTACATAACTCAGACTCATAGTGATCCTTCTGTGTCAGCCTCCCCAGTGCTGGGATTACATGTGTGCACCATCATGCCCAGTTTTGGTGGCCCAAACTGTGCACCTGGGGTACCGGGGATTGAACCTGGCTCCTTGGCCTGTGCTTGCCAGGCAGGTATTTGGACCCCTGAACTATCTCCCTAGCCCTCACTTTGCAGTTTAGACTGGCCTTGAGCTCATTCTGTAGCCTAGGTGGGCCTCAAACTCATAGTGATTCTCTTGTCTCAGCCTCCAGAGTGCTGTGATTACAGGCGTGCGCCACCATGCCAGACATAGTTGTTGCTTTAAATGTTGTCTTGACCCAGTTTTGAGGCCCTGGCTTGAGGCTGGTCAGTCTTCCTTTTTGACCTACCAAGTCAACACCCCAGTCTCTTCCTTATAGGGGGCACAGCAGTCCTAATCACCCTGGGCCAGGCAGCATGTACCTAGCTATGCCCCTCTCCTCCAAGGCCACCAACTCTATTCCAGGTGTCCATTGGCAGAAAGCCCTCAGAGCTCACCTCACCAGTGTAATACAGCTGGAGCGTTTTGTTACCTTGTCCCTGTACACAGCCCTGTGTGACCATGCTGTGCATATTTCTGTTTGAGCTTGATGCTTAATCACTGCTGAGCTGCAGTGGAATCCTGTGGGCTCCTCTTGGAGGCTGTAAGGGGTCAGGTATCTGGCTTCCATCTTCAGAAGTGCTGGTCCCTGTGGGTCAGTTTAGTACCTTTAGCCTGGGGAATAGATCTTGATAACTTTGGTATTGAAATAAGGTTTTACACACACACACACACACACACCAGGGGGCGCTATAGTTTCGAGTTAGACACCAGGCCCAGCCTCTGCCCTGGTACCAACTTAGTAGTGGGCAGAGTTTTTTGGGGGCAGGGGTATGTTTAGTCCTCTGCTCAAATTTCAGAAGTTAAGTCCAATGGCACCTTCTGTGTACAAAAATGTGGGGAGTATGCGTATTGCTCTAGCCCCATCTTCACTGGCTGGGATATCTTGGGCATAACCTCCCTGGATTCATACTCATGTGTGAAGTGAATGTTACTAAAAAAACAAAACAAAACAAAACAAAACAAAATAAAAGCAGCCTTTTTAGGGGAAGTGTGTTTTTTTTTTTTTTTTTTTAAACTTAGTTTTGAAAATTTCCCAGTATTGGATGTTGGACCTACTGCTTTGGTGCTGAGTTATATCCTCAGGAATTTTGCACTAAGCTATATTTTTAACTCTTTCAAACATTTTTTTAAATTGTGAGACAAGGCCTTTATAAGTTGCTTGGGCTAGGTGTGAACTTTCAATTCTGCCTCAGTGTCCCAAACTTCTAAAATTATAGACAGTGCCCCACCATGTGTAGCTGAACTTTGCTTTTTGGTACTGGGAACTGAACTTGGGACCTCACGCTTGCCAGGTAGGCACCATACCGCTGAGCTACATCCCCAGCCCCTGAACCTTGCCTCTGATCTAAACACTGACTCGGCCATTGAATGAGACTCACCCTGCATGTATTAGGATCCCAGTGATGGCTACGGGCCCAACTCTGAGAAGCAGCAGCTTTCCCTGTGTGCTTTATTCATCCTACTAGTTCTCACTGCTGTGGCCACTGTTGGGCACCTACAGGTATCAGGCACTACACTAAGCGCTTTACAAACTTTAGGTCATTTAATCATGATGGTGAAGCTCCAGTTTCCAAGCAGAAGAGGCTTGAGAGGTCTTGGGCTTGAAGTTACATTGTCATTTCACATGACACTGAGGACAAGTCCATTACTGCATCAGAGAACAATGACTAATATCTTTCAAGTCACTTATAGATGTGTACATTTGCAGAAACTATTCTCTAGAAGGTGCCTTTTGGGGGAGGGGATGGTTGTGGGAATCAAACGAGGGTATACTGACACTGAGCTATTTCCCCAGCCTCTTTAGTTTTGAGACAGGATCCAAGTTTCCCAGGATGGCCTTAAACTGACCACCCTCCTGCCTCAGCTTCCCAGTACTAAGAGCTGGGTTTGTAGGTGTGTTCTGCTTCACCTGGCCTGAGTACTTTGTTTTTTTCTTTGAGCATCTTTGACTTTCTCAATCTGGCCTTCTCAGATCCCATTCATTTAGACAATGTCAGACACTGCAGGGCACTTGCCAGCCTGATTCAAAATACAAGGGACTCTTTCTGGTAAAAGGAACTTGTTTTCTTCATTAAAAAGCCAACTAATAATCTGTGTATGTGGCCTGCTAGAGCTTGAATCCAGGGCCTCTCACATGTTCAGCAGGTTCTCTGCCACTGAGCTACATCCCCAGCCCCCAATAAATAAATTTTTAAGAAATAAAAAGCTCTTTAAAAAACAACAAGAAACACTTCATTTTCTTCCTTATGTTCTTCTCATTTTCTTCCTTTCTCCATCAGAAAAAACAAAACCTTCTGTTTTGGGAAATGAGTCACTTGTTTTCTTTTTCCTACTCCTATCAAAACCCCCACTTGAGCTCAGCAGAGCTGCGGGAGGACAGAGCTGTGCTCACAGGAAGCTGCACGCCTTTAAAGACATCTGTGCTTCGTGCCAGCGTCACATTGCCTCTCTACCTTCCCAGAGCCACCTTAGAGAAGCAGGTAAGTGGGGACAGGGGCATGGCAGGGGCTGCAGTGTGGGCCAAAGGTGACACTGGGACGCGGCCAGCAGGACGTCTGGGCATCTTGGTCACACCGGTGCACACAGGTGGCAGCTCGCTCACATGTGGAGTCTGTCCCCACATGTGGAGCCTCAGCTGCTGGGCCCCGGAGATGTAGGCTTCTTTGCTTCTCCTTCCTGTGTGTGCAGCTGTCCTAAGTCCAAGCCCTAGAGAAATAGGTAACTTCCATAAAAATCCTCACTTTTCTGCTTGCTGCTTCTGTCATGACTCTTGGGCCAAGGAACCACACACGCATACACACAACAGGTACAAACATTTAGCAGTGATCCTGTCTGTCCTGCTTTCCTCACTCTTTTTTTTCAGAACCAGGGTTGAACTCAGGCCCCCTGCGCTTGCCAGGGAAGCGCTTATTCCACTGAGCCATCTCCTCAGCCCCTCTTTCCTCACTCTTTAGCCTTGTTTATTTTACCTTTTATTTTTTATTTTTTTTTTTTTGGAACCGGGGATTGAACTCAGGTCCTTGCGCTTGCTGGGGAAGCACTTATTCCACTGAGCCATCTCCCCGGCCCTACCTTTTAATTTTCACTGGTAAAATCCTGAAGAAAGAATTGTTGCTCTTTTGACAAACTTTCCTGGAGGCCTGCCCTAGAGCAGGTTTTTAGCATCCAGTTTCAGGAATAACACAGAATCTTCTCTCAGGAAATGCAGCCTGGGCATTTGGGGCTGTGGTGGGAAGGCGGAGGGAGGGCCTATCGGTGGATGATGGAACAGGTGGAAGGTCTTGGTAAGGCTGTCACGGTGCCGCGTGAGCAGGCAGGAGGGAGCCAGGGCCGGCCCTGCGCTGCCCGGGTTCCTGGGTGAGCATGTGTATAACTTTCAGGTTTTAACGTCTTCATGTGCCTTGTGCAGGAGCTGGACCCTGGCACTCACGTGTAGTGGGCAAGTTCTCCACCAGTGAGCTACAGCCCTAGCCCTTCGTATTCTGTTTTGTAATGGGATCTTGCTAAGTTGTTCAAGCTGATCCAGAACTTGTGACCCTTCCACCTCAGTCTTCTAAATAACTGGGATTATAGACATGCACCACTGTTCTTGGCTTAGTTTTCAATTTAGATAGAAAATCAAAGCTGGCCATGGTGATGCACACCTTTAATCCCAGCACTTGGGAGGCTGAGGCAGGAGGATTGCCCAGAGTTTGAGGCCAGCATGGACTATATAATTCAAGGCCAGCCTGAACTACTTAGCAAAGTCCTGTCTCAAAAACAAAAGAGAAATATAAACAAAAGAATGTGGCTGGGGAGTTGGAAACCTTCTGGCTGTGCCTTTTTTAAGATCTATCAGGATTTTTTTAAATTTTGTGTGTGTGTGTGTGTGTGTGTGGCCAGCTCAGCCCACCAGGGGGCGGGGCTGGCTGGCATGTGGTGCTGGGAGATTGAACCATGGTCCCTGTGTTTTGCCAAGCTTGTTCCAAGTAGGTGCTTTAGACCACTGAGCCATCTCACCAGCCCCATATGAGGATTCTTTTTTAATTTTTGTAATCAAGGAATTTTCTAATAAAGGATTTGATGCATTGGACTTTAAAAAAATTTTTTAAAATGTGATTTGATAAAAGACCAAGAAGTTTCCTCAAGGCACCTGAGTGCCATAAGCTCCTGCAAGGCTTTAGCACTCACTGGCTATATTAGGATAGTGCGGCTCAGGACTGGCCACAGATTCCCAGAGGGCCAGGAGCACGGTCCCTCCCAGATGTGCTCTGAGGCAAATGGAGACTGGCAGGGAGGTGATGGAGCCTCTTACACCAGCTCCTAAGGGCAGATATTACATGTCCACAAATCTAATGGGGCAGCTGGCCGCTTGGAATCGACCACTGTGGGGTATATGCCACAGGGCCCAGCAAACGCTAGACAGCAGTTTCCCCACCCTTACCCCTAGACCTCTGACTTGGGGTCCAAGCAGCAAGTTTGCACACAGGTGTCTGGGCTTTGGAAGTCACTTAATTCTGGGGGAGGAGGGAGATTATGAGCCCAGGGCCTTTGCACGGAGCTACATCTGCAACTGCCGCCTCCCTCCTTTCTGAGACAGGATCTCACTTTGTGGTTCAGTGCCCATGAACTCACCATGTAACCTAGGCTGGCCTCAAATTCTTTGATCCTCCTGCCTCAGCCTCCTAAGTGCTAGAGTTACACATATGTGCCACTACATCTGTCACCAAATGCCCCTTCTAAGAAAAAAAAATTGGAACAAATTCTCATTACATTGCCTAGGTTTGACTCCAATTGACAGGATTTTGAAAATCTTCTGGAGCTTAGTGATGATCATATTCTACTTTGTCCATTTTGAAGCACTGCTTTCTCCAGGAATCTAGACAAATTTTTATGTGCTCTCCTTTGTTTATGTTCAGCTTGGCATACAAGAATTCCATTGGGAATGGCCTTTTAATGTACAATACTGATGAGTGTGCTTTGAAACCTATATAAACCTTGCAAAAGGAATTAGTTCTTACATAAAGGCAGGAGACTTATTTGGTTTCTTTATTGTGGAATAAGATTAAGATTTCCTGGATTCTGAGGTGCTGGGGATTGAACCCAGGGCCTTGTGCATGCTAAGGCCTGTTCTATGTCTGACCTATATCCCCAACCCCATGTATAGATTTTTTTTAAGGTAGATTTTTAATCTTTTTAATGTGAGAATGGGCTAAGACGTGCAGTACTATTGGGAATGTATGCTGATGTTGATGTTGTCATCCCTGAACGTGAATATAAGAACTCCAGACTACATCATGTTTTAGGAACACATTTGTAGTCATGTGTGGTGGTGTACTTCTGTAATCCTAGCACTTGGGAGGCTGAGGCAGGAGGATCAGTGCAAGTTCAAGGCCAGCCCAGGCTATAGAATGAGTTCAAAGTCTGCCTCAATTATATAGTCAGCACTTAAAAAAAAAAAAAATTAAAACATCCAGGGTCAGGGAGATAGCTTAGCAGTGTAAGTGCCTGCCTGGCAAGCACAAGGTCCTGAGTTTGATCCCCATACTGCAATAAATAAATAAATAAATAAATGTACGTTTTAAAATTATACCTCCATGAAAAGGAGTTTTACTATCCTCACTTCAAATGAGGGCTGAAGTTCTAGCAGAGGGGTGAGAGGATGAGTGAACAGGATGAGAGCCACCCCTGAATGAGCGAGAGGGGGTGAGTCGCAGAGCTGATTGCAGGAATCTCTCCTGTGGCCACCTAGCCCTGCTAGGAATTGAGCATCTCAGCTGCGGAAGGTGTGCTATAGATGCATTTTTATATACACATTCTATTTTTGTGTGTACTGTATAATGCCCTTTAGATACTATACATCATATATACTATACATAACAAGTAAATGAGCTAGCGCAAGACAGCATGCAGCTACACTCTGCATTGTCTGCTTTCTGACTCTTGTTCTAATGGGAATCTTGCTTGTTCTCCCTCTCGTTAGCCTTCTGCTTACACCCAGACCATCCTCGAGGAGCTGGTAGACTTGAAAAATGAACCCCACTGACACAGCAGACACCACTGTGGATGGAAATATGTATAACAGTTACTACCTCTATGAAAGCAGTATGCCCAGGCCTTGTGACAAAAAAGGCGTCAAGGCTTTTGGGCAGCTCTTCCTGCCTCCTCTTTACTCCTTGGTCTTTCTGTTTGGTCTGCTTGGAAATTCCGTGGTGGTTGTGGTCCTGTTCAAGTACAAGCGGCTCAGGTCCATGACTGACGTGTACCTGCTCAACCTGGCCATCTCGGATCTGCTCTTTGTGCTCTCCCTCCCGTTCTGGGGCTACTATGCTGCGGACCAGTGGGTCTTTGGGCTCGGTCTGTGCAAGATGATTTCCTGGATATACCTGGTGGGCTTTTATGGTGGCATCTTCTTCATCATGCTCATGAGCATCGACAGATATCTGGCCATTGTGCACGGGGTGTTTTCAATGAGGGTGAGGACCTTTACCTACGGGGTCCTCACCAGCTTGGCCACGTGGGCTGTGGCAGTGTTCGCCTCTCTTCCTGGACTTCTCTTCAGCACTTGCTTCACTGAGCATAACTACACCTACTGCAAAACCAGGTACTCTGCAAACTCCACCACGTGGAAAGTTCTGAGCTCCCTGGAGATCAACATTCTAGGACTGGTGATCCCCTTGGGGATCATGCTGTTCTGCTACTCCATGATCATCAAGACCTTGCAGCGTTGTAAAACCAAGAAGAGGAACAGAGCGGTGAAGATGATCTTTGCTGTGGTGGTTCTCTTCCTGGGCTTCTGGACGCCCTACAACATTGTGCTCTTCCTGAACACCCTGGTGGAACTGGAAGTCCTTCAGGGCTGCACCTTGGAGAAGTACCTGGACTTCGCTGTCCAGGCCACAGAAACCCTGGCTTTTGTTCACTGCTGCCTTAATCCGATCATCTACTTTTTTCTGGGGGAGAAGTTTCGTAAGTATATTGTACAGCTCTTCAAAACCTGCAGGGGCTCTTTTGCACCCTGCCAATACTGTGCACTCCTCCAGATTTACTCTGCTGACACATCCAGCTCCTCTTACACCCAGTCTACCACGGATCATGAGCTCCATGATGGCTTGTAGACACAAAAGCGCAAAGCACAGAATTAATGACCTTTCTACATTCAGAGCTTACTTAAAATTGTGTTTTAGTAAGAGGGCCCTGAGCAGGTATCCTGAGCAGGGCTGGCATGCACAGCCGAAGGTGTGCTGCTCGCCTTGCAGTCAGCTTTTCCTCTTCTGATAGTCGGGGTCAGCCCTGTCAGGAGACACCTGAACTGAGCAGCCTTCCTCACCCCTGGCCTGCCTTCAGGAAGTGCAGATCTCAAGAAAATGCTGAGTGGTTTCAATGAAGACATGGAAAATACTGAAAGAGAAAGACCATTCCCTGTAACCCAAGCCGAAGGGGCTCTCCAGAGGGAAATGGACCCTGGAATTTCTAGCTTTTGTGAAACAATGTGGAAAACTTTGACATGGCTGTTTTAGTATTTTTTAAATAATATATCTAAAGGCATATTCTGTGGAGCCAGATGTATACCGAAAGCATTTGTGAAATCATGAACCTATATTTCAATCCTTTTCTTATGAAGGATTATTTGTTAATTGAAGGCAAACTTTCTCTGCTGATTGCAAGTGTAAGGATACGAAAATATTAGTGTGGTCTCATTTCTAAATGTAAAATATAAGGCATCTAAGATCCAAACACTTGTTGAAACCCAAACATAATTGCATTTTCATGTGGACATGTTTTGTTCTAATTATAATAGTTGAATATTCAACCCTAAAAATAATATTGGGGGTGTTGGGGAGATAGTTCCGTGGCTTAAGTATCTGCCTGGTAAGTACAAGGTCCTGAGTTTGATGCCTGGTACTGTCCCCGTCCCCCAGTAATAATATACAGGGGGCTAGGAGTATCGCTCAGCAGCACAGTACTTGCCTAAGTAGTGCGGGGCCCTGGGTTTAGTTCCCAGCATCACAAATAATAATGGCTTAGAATGTATTTATCTAGGTTTTTTATTTCTTTATAAATATAGCCTTCAAAATTAAAAATAAAGCATGCTAATAAAGTAAAATACCTCCCTAATCATTTTGAAGTGCCATCAGTTAAGGTGAGAATAATTTATTAACATTTATTGCTGATATGGCATTCTTTCTTTTTTTTTTTTTCGGCGGATCCGGGGATTGAACTCAGATCCTTGCATTTGCCAGTCAAGCGCTTATCCTACTGAGCCATCTCCCCGGCCCCTTGATATGGCATTAAAATGACTTAAAATTATGATATTATACAAGGATTCACTTTTCTATTAAAATACTGGCTCTGTGAGTCCTGGTTCCTCCATAACCAAAACTAGCAATTGAGTTAAAATGCTTCTGTTAAATTTACATATTACTGCATCCTCCTTAGTTACAAAGAATGCAGTTCCAGAAAATTTACTTTCAGAAAAGTGGTTTTAAAAGAGAAAGTTATGGGCCTCGGGACACACCTCAGTGGAACTGTACCTGCCTGGCAAGCGTGAGGTTGTGAATTTGATTCTTGGTACCAAAAAAAGAGGAAGTTACTATCACCTTCATAGAAAATAAAATGACCTTGTACATAGTCTCACAGAATTGCCTTTTTTCATGATCCTGTTTATGTTTGGTTTTACAGTGTAGCAGACTCTGAGCTGTTCTCTGTCCACTGCTTTGCCGTGTGTTGTAGATGTCATGGATTCCCCCAAGGAGAGGAATCAAAAGGGTTTGCAGTAAACAGTTCACAGGGGGTGGGACAAGGACTCACTATAGTGTTGTAAGCCCCTAGCAGTGTTTCCTGAGAAAACCTCTGTGTGACATCCTAGGAGCCCCTGAATTGTACCCCTGTGTTCTTTGTAAGCTGGAGCATGTTACTTTGCACTTAGCCATGGTTTCCTCATCTGTAAATGGAATATATTTTAGAGTGACTGAAAGAAATAAATGACTAATGCACAGTGTCTATGTTCCTACATCCTAGGGAAAGACGGGCTTTAGAATTGCTCATCTAGAGGCTGCCTTCCCTTTCCTGGTAGAGCCTGTCATTTTGTTCATTTAATCCCAGTGACACAGCAACAGGCACCAAGAAACAGACCAGCCAGAGTGGTTTCCTTACCCCTCACTCCCTGCACAGATGGCGCTAAGCTGTGGGAGGCGTGGGCTCCTCAACCTGCCCTTGTTTCAAAGTTGGGGAATGGGCTTTCAGTGCAGGAATTGAGAACCTGGCACCGTCCAGATATCACCCTCTCAGCACACTCCAAAGTGTTTCTTTCTCTGTAGCACAGCTACAAAAGACAAGTTAGCAGGATTTCTGCGCAGAGGTGGGTTTCATGACACTTTCAGACATGAGAGCTTCTGGGGAACACAGATCAGGTATGATGGGCATAAGAACAGAAATGCATTTGCGTGTGAGTGACGAAAAGGTTTTGGAACAGGGTGGCTACAAGTGATAGCTACAAGATAATTATGAATGAACTAAATGCTGCTAATAGTATATATCATGATGGTTACCCTTATGTGGTTTTTAAAAATAACAGAGTTCAATCCCTGGTTCCGCCAAAAACAAAAACTAAAACAAAAAACAAAACAGAAAGAGGCCAGGCTTGGTGGCATAGGTCTATAAAACCAGCACTTGGGAGGCTGAAGCAGGACGATTGCTATAAATTCAAGACCACCCTAGGCTACATAGTGTGAGTTCAAGGTTAGCCTTAACTACATAGTGAGACCTTGTTTTAGAAAATGAACAATGAGGGCCGGCAAGATACTCAACGGACTAAAGCGCCTACTTGGGCAAGCTTAGGCAAGTGCAGGGACTGTGGTTTGATCCCCAGCACCACATGCCATACCAGCCCTACCCCTAGGATGGGCTGAGCTGGCCAGAGTCCCAGGTGTAGTGGCGCACGCCTGTAATCCCAGAGCCGGGGAGGCTGAAAGCAGAAGGATCACCATGAGTCTGAACTGTGTAGTGACACTCTTCAACAACCAAATACATTTAAAAATAAATAAATGAAAAACAAAACAAAATGAGCAACAAAAAAAGAAACCAATCGAAAATAGCCCTACCAACAGCTGGCCATTATAGGTCTATTAGATTAATTTCATTAGCTTCTCATGAGAAGGAAAAATACCAGGGAACGAAAGGGTATTCAGCTCCTTATGGAGATTTTTTCCCCAACAAATTATCAACACTTTGGAACTATTTGATACAATTCATTTTGACCACCGAATGCCATTTTGTGCCAAGCAGAACTCTAGGTGATGGAATAAAAGGCTCAGAGTTCTGCTCTCCCAGAATCTGCAGTCTGGTAAAGGAAGGTACCAACATTAAGTGCAGTCAAAGCAAGACATAGCAGAGACACAAGGAGACTGGGAAGCTGACTCTGCTGCAGGTTTTCCTGGTAGCCTTAGCTTTTGCAGTAGACTTGGCAGCAGCAGTGGCAGCAGCAGGATTTTCCTGGAAGGAGCCTAGGAAGGGCTTTCGAAGCTGGCCAGCAGCTTGTGGAAAGGCAGGGGAGTGCTTAGAAGCGGTGTGTTCGGGAATCTGTGGCAAGCAGCTTTTCTGTCCTTAACACGAATGTGTGGGAGTGGGGAACAGCACAGCAGGGAGAGATGAGCAGACAGCCAGCAGCAGTGCGGATCCACTGTCCAGGCGCTCAGGAGGTGGCAGACGTGGAGCGCGCCCCTTACCTGTCAGGACTCCGCTGCTCCCCCGCAGGAGTGACAGCTGTTGTCTTTGAAAGAAACTCCTCCCTTGGCACAGACCCCATCCAGCAGTGGATGCACAAGGACACGCAGGCAGTGGTCCCTGGCCCAGGTTAGGGATAAGCCTGTGGGCCACCGTGATTCCAGCTGCGGCCTCTGCTGCAGCAATACCGCAGCAGCCCCGCTCCTCTTCCTGCCCACCCTGCTTGATGATGCCCTCACTGGACCCCAAAGGACACTGCACTAAGTCTCCTGCATGCTAAGCTCAGCATTTTTCTGAGACTCTCGGGTCTAAAAGGAGAGAGCAGGTAACACAAACAGGAAGGGGTTCCGGTGTGGGGAAGTGCAGATCGTCTTGGTGGCAGTGATGTCCTCGCTCCCAGTGCCCTGTGGCCATCAGCCCGCCTGACCCTTGAGTCCACTCCTCTCTCCCAGCCCACACTGCCTGCCTGCGCATGCCCTGAGATACCTTCCTCATCTCATAGCGGCCCTGCTGCCCCACAGCCCTACTTCCTGTCCCCTGTAATCGGCCAGTGGCTACCTCATGCAAGCCTCTCTCAGCTCATCCATTTTGTGTGCACAACAGTTTACTCATGAGAAGCTCACAGTGATTCCAAAATCGACTTTCAGAAAACTGGAGGTGCAGAGTTGCCAGGCACAGTGGCTCATCCCTGTGATCCCAGAATTCGGGCAGGCTGAGGCAGGAAGATCACAAGTTCAAGTCAATTGGCAACTTGGGGAGACCCTAGCTCAAAATAAAAAGTACAGAAAGAGCTGAAGATGTAGCTCAGTATGAAGGCCCTGAGTTCATTCCCCAGTATAACCAAAAAAACCAAGAACCATGGGTACTTTTGGAAGGCAGCTACGCTCACCACTATACCACCCTGGCCTGCTCATGGGTACTTTTGTGTCCTGAAACATTTTGGCTACTTCTTAGATAGATAATGGTCAATTGTATGACTCCAAGGAATTGAGGTTCTGGGGAAACAACATCTAATAATGAAATGGGTGGAGGCTATCAACAGTAACTACCACCTAACTATAGAGAGAAATGCCCGACATAAAGCAGATGCTCAGTTATTCTGCACTGAGTTTCTTATCTTGTAAGTAATTTACACTGTGGCAACTTTCTGTTTAACTATACAAAATTTACTAGTCCCACTTCCAAAACCCCCAGCTATGTTTCTAATAAAACTTGGTGACCAAATTCAAAGTTGAGTAAACTGTTCCAGAAATAGCGGGTGGGTTCTGAGTCAAACACGGCTTCATTTAGGCTTCTGGTATGAACATAATTATAAGACTATTTTCATTTTTTTCCTGGGAAATTGTAACATAAAGAATGAATTTTAAAACCCACATATTCCCTTTCTGGTCAAAGTAAGAAGGATACTTTTCAGACTGCACAGTATTTGTAAGGTTCTGAGCACAGCAGCCTCTATCAGGCAAGAACCTGTGGGAAAGGCAGAGAAAACAGCCATCCCATGAGGCAGTGTGGGCCAGTGGGGGCAGTGCTGCGGCTGTGCAGGCCAGTGCTGGGCCGAAGAGGATCCGAGTCAGGACGAGGCCCAGTTTGGCCCTTCAAAGCAGAGGAAGCAGGTTTGCTGAAACCCCAGGGTGCAGGAGGCTGCTGCTGTCTGCAGGCAGCAGGAGAGCCAGCAGGTTGTGAAGGCAGCCTGGGAAGCACCACTGTAGCTCCCCTCCCTGAGCACTCACACGGGGACAGAGAAATGCCATGGAGAGCAACATTACTTACTGAGAGCTGATAGGATTACTACAAGGACAGAACTGGGTGTGGTGGTGGTGCACAACTGTAATTCTAGCACTTGGCAGGCTGAGACAGAAGGATCACTGAGAGTTCGAGGCCAGCCTAAGCTGCATAGCAAGACTCTTGTCTCAAAAAAAAAAAAAAAAAGGAACAGACTATATTGGTGGCATATCTCAGCTCAACATGCTGGGTGGGTGTCCCAGAAGCATTGCAACTAGAAACAATAAAAATGCTGGCCATCACCACTGGAGAACATCCCACTGGCCATACTAACTCCATGCTACAGGGAAGAAAGCAGAAAGATAGAAACTGGAGAAGGATGTTTTAAAAAGAAAACCAGCTATTACTCCTCAAAACTAAAGCTGTCAAGAAAACAAAGGAAGCCTGATAAGCTGTCACAGCTGAGAGGAATCTAAGATGGTGTAATATATTCTGGAAAAGGATATTAGCCAAAATCTAAGAAACTGAATAAAAAATGAACATTAATATATACATATTAGGTCAGCAAATACAAGAAATATGCCACCCTAGCTGGGTGTGGTGGCACACGCATGTAATCCCAGCACTCAGAAGGCTGAGGCAGGCAGAGTGCCATGACTCAAAGGCTGGCCTGGGTCTTTGTTTTTTTGTTTTTTTTTTTGCGGAACCGG